AAATAATGACATTGTAGTCTTTGCTTGTGGACCAGCTTATTCAACAGTGAAGCCCCAGGTTTTTGTTGTTTTTTTAGTGCCAGAGTAGGGGACACTGTTTTTCCTGGGCTACAAACAGAAGTGGCCTCTGGGCCTCTGTTTTTGCCACCTCAACACAGGTGTGTTAAGTCACTCCTGCTTAGAACTTCTCACAGGATCAAGTCTCAAACCTCAGCAGGCTTATGGTCTGGTCCCCACGTCTCCAGGTTTTCTGCCTCTCCCCTTGTACTCTGCTCCATCTGCCCCCTATTGATTGACCATCTCATGCTCTGTGACATTTCTGTGCCGTGGCGAGCCCTGTCCCTGCTGCTGGGGATGCCTTCAACTCGCAAACCCCTATCAATTTTCAAGACCCGCTTCCCCTGCTTTGACATCCCTCGCCCCCCCCCCCTCCGCCGCCCCAAACTCCAGCTTCAGGCTTGGGAGCAGTACCTGGGAACTGCTCGCCTCCGGACTCTTCCCTCAGCTGCTCATTCCGCCGGCTCTCTCGGGCCTCTCTCCAGCGCAGCTTCTGGATGGATGGATTTCTCAGGCATTTCCGGATACGGCATTTTTTTCGTTGCACGGTCTCTGGGCAGGGTGCACCTCCAAACTGTGGCTCCATTTGGATCATCCGGGTTCGAATCATGTGGCCTTTCCCACAGGACTTGTTACATTCCGACCACTGAGACCACTCGGTGAGCTCACAGTCAATGGCTGGCAAGACACAGATGGGCAGGAGTGGATCTCATGTCTGAAACAGCATATGTATGGCCACTTGCGTTTTCCTCTGAACATCTCCACACAAGTCTGAGAGATGCAGAGAAGGTGCTGTTTTCCCATTTTACAGAAGAAACTGGGCGGTTCCTACACGCAGATTGACTTCAGCCCACAGGGTTGGTTCCCAGGTCATAACCCACCTTCTGTGCCCAAATGACTCGAGGAATTTGGAAGATATGTTCAGAGGCTCTCACCCTTCCCTGTGAGCAGCTAGAGTATTGTCAAATCAGCCCTAAGTGGCATAGAGCCATCTTCCACAGTCCCAAGGACTGGGTATTTTTCAGAGCTGACCCCTGTGGACCAATACCCAAGGCCACTGTGACTTTTGCAGTAAGACTCTGGTAGCTTCTCGTTCAACATCTCCCCGGGTCCTATAGATGGCAGTTTGTGCAAAAATCGCAGGAGCCAGAAACAGAAAATTCATTAGAAAAGAGGGGTGGGGACAAGTGGGGGTCTTAATGGTCTATCAGGGTATAGGATCCAGCAAATTCTTATTAAGCCAACACCTCACAAAGTAGAGGGAAAATAACGCAATGGTCTGATTCTGAGAATGTGACCTAAGGAGGCAAAGGATTCTGGACGCCTCACTGGGTCTGCAGAATGTAGATCTAGGAAGAACTCATTTGGGTCAGTAATTTTTGGCCTTTCTCCCTGTGAGCTCAGGCAGCTTATGTGTAAAATGAGGATAATGGTATTTTTCTCATTAGTTGTGAAGACTAAATGAAATCTTCCCAGCTCAGTTCCTGGCGCACAGGAAGCGTTGTTCTACATTCAGTGAATCCTGTGAATATACGTTTCAGTGGGTGTCTCAGTCAGAGGTTCTGGAGCTTCCACTCTTGGTGAGATGGGTTGAACACAGGGTCAACCTTAGTTATTCAAAGCCTCAGTTTGATGGTCTGGGTCATCTCCACACATGACCACATGTAGCTAAAACAGCTCAGGAACTGTAATATGTAACACTGAGTGTAACACACCTGCCAGGTCTAGTGTTTGGCACTTTGTACCAGTTATGTGGTTTAATCCTCAGAGGAACCTAGGAAATGTTTCTTGCTATTTTGCAGTTGAGCAGGGGCGCGGTCATCTGCGTAAGGGACAAAGCTGGGACCTTCCTCTCAGAGGAAGCCAAAAAAAACCCATCCTAGCAAGCCTGTCTGACTTTCTACTTCCTAAAAGAGAAGCTCTCGTGGAAGATTAGCCATAAAAATGGGCTCCCTCCCTCTCCTTGGAGATCAGCACCCGAGAAATGCAGGTGATCAAAGAGGTTTTGGAAGAGGTGGGGGTGGGCATTGAGCTTTTCGTTGCTGGTCTTAGCAAGGCTGCAAAAGTACAGAAGTTACTGACTTCACGTCCACCCTCTAGTCGTGGGCAAATGGTCACAGGGAAAAGGAATAGAAGTAAAAAGGTTGGAAAGCCCATGGATCAGAGAGTTGTGGAGGTGGGGAGGGCAAGAGCCACATAATGAGGCTCCTTGACAAGGAGCCTGTGCTATGTGTTTCCCATCTCCGTCTCCTCTTTAGACTTCATAGCAACGTGCAGTTTGGGTGTCGTGTAGCTGGTAGCAGGACCCCCTCTTGCTAGTGAGGAGACTGAAGGTTAAAGATCTGTGCTAACATGGAGACCCAAAGCCTGTGCTCTTTGTCCCCAGCAGGGGGCTGGGCTGCAGGACTTACGGCATTCGGGCAGCATGCACTTCTCCACCTGCTCCAGCTCCTCGTTACAGTCCCCGAGTTCCGCCAGAGACTTGAGCATCCGCTGGCGGGTCCGCATGCCCTTCCCGCAGGTCACGCTGCAGTCACTCCACTCGGACCACGGGGATAGCAAGCAGGGGATGGTGTCTAGGCCAAGAGCCAGGTTTGCCACTGAGAACAGGCTCCCTTTACTTTCTTTGATTTCCCTGTGTCCCCTACCCTCTGTTCCCCACTCTGACCCCTGGAGTTGAGTGCCATGGACCGACGGCCTTCAGGTGACCCAAGTGACCCTGTGGAGCAAGAAGTGGCTCAGCAGACTACTGCCCTTCCTGCCCTTCTGTCACTCTCCTGCATCTCCCCTGCTGATGTAGCTCAGCAATAGGAATACACAAGTCCCCGCCTGCAACACCCCACACCCCCCCAAGACCATGCAGTATATTTTTGGACACTTTGTTGCTAAAATCCCGAGGGTGACCTCTACTCGTGTGCATGTGTGCGCATGTGTACTAATGTGTGGGTCTGTGTGCATTTGTGGGTAGAGCTGGGGTTGTAATGCTTTATGGGGCCAGGCATGTCCAGAGCAGAACAAGAGTGGGGGCCTATGACCTGAGGGGTGGATGTCCTGCCTGAATGTATTATAATATCACCCGCCTCCCACCAGGATACTCTGGGGTCCTATAAAACACAGCTGCTGACGAGTGCTTTCCAGAGGTCACCAGTTTGCCATCCCAGCCTCGCTCAGAATGTCCCTCAAGGGAAGCCCCGCTTGATGGCTCTTGCAAGGACAGTGGGCCGTATGTTCTCTCAGCACGCGCCCAGCCTCCGGCCTTGCTGGTGGTAGCAGCAGGGCTTCTGTGGTCCGGCACACCGCCCCCATCCCCTGCCCCACGGCCACTCACGACACTCGGGCATCATGCACTTCTCCGCCTGGGAGGTCTCGGCCTTGCACGCGGAGCCGTCCGCCGGGCTCATTTTGACCATGCGATGCCGCTTCTTCATGCCCATCCCGCAGGTGGCGCTGCAGTCATCCCACTCGCCCCACTCGGTCATCAGGCAGCTGCTGGGAGCTGGGAGGCCAGCCCTGTTGGGGTCATGGCTGCCGCCTTGGGAGCACTCCCTCTCCTCCCCTAGCCCCTGCTGGCTGGGCATGCCTACTCACAGCACTCCTCATTGACCGTGCACTTCTCCGTCTCCTCAGTGGGCAGCGTGCACACAGAGCCGTCCTCAGGGAACTGCTTCACATACCTCTCCCGGGACCGCATGCCCATGCCACAGGAGATGCTGCAGGGCGACCAGGTGATCCACTCGGACATGGTGCAGGTGGAGCCGTCTGCAACACATGAGCAGGCGCCGCTGCAGCCCGCGTGCCCAGCTCTCCAGGGCAGGAATCGAGAAGGAACTGGCTGTCTTTTCCCCATTGTGTATTCTTGCCTCTTTTGTCAAAGATTAACTGACCATATAATCACGAGTTTGTTTCTGGGCTTTCTGTCCTGTTCCGCTGATCTACAAGGTCTGTTTTTGTGCCAGTGCACGGTTTTGAATGGGGAAAAAGATGGTCTCTTCAACAAATGGTGATGGGAACGCTGGAGAGCTACATGCAAACGAATGAAACTGGACCACTTTCTTGCACCGTACATAAAAATAAAATGGCTTAAGACCTAAATGTGAGACCTGAAACCATAAAAATCCTGGAAGAGAGCACAGGCAGTAATTCCTCTGACATGGGCCGTAGCAACATTTTTCTAGTTAAGTCCCGCGAGGCAAGAGAAATGAGAGCAAAAATAAACTATTAGGACTACATCAAAGAAAAGCTTCTGCACAGCAAAGGAAACCATCAAAGCTAAAAGGCAACCTACAGAATGGGAGAGGATATTTGCAAATGACCTCTCTGATAAAGGGCTGGTATCTAAAATATATAAAGAACTTATAAAACTCAACACCCAAAAACCAAATAATCCAATTTAAAAATGGGCAGGAGACAGACAGACATTTCCCCAAAGATGACACACAGAGGGACAACAGACATATGAAAAGATGCCCAACATCACTTATCAGGGAAATGTAAATGAAAACTACAATGAGCTATTACCTCACACCCATCAGAATGGCTAAAATAAAAGCAACAACAGGTGTTGGGGAGGATGTGGAAAAAAAGGAACCCTCGTGCACTGTTGGTGGGAATGCAAACTAGAGTAGCCACTGTGGAAAGACACTGGAGGTTCCTCAAAAGTTAAAAATAGAACTGTCCTATGATCCAATGCTACACTATTGGGTATTTATCCCCAAATACAAAAATATTAACTTGAAAGGATATATGTACTCCTGTGTTTATTGCAGCATTGTTTACAATAGCCAAATTATGCAAGCAACGCAAGTGTCCATCGCTTGATGATAAAGGAAATGGTATATGTATACAATAGAATATTATTCAGCCATAACACAGAATGAAATCTTGCCATTTGCAACATGGATGGAGCTAGAGAGCATAATGCTAAGCAAAATAAGTCAGAGAAAGACAAATCCTGTAGGATTTTACTTGCGGAATTTCAGAAATAAAGCAAGGGGCATTAAAAGTCTTTTTTGGTTTGTCTCAACTATACAGAAACTGTTCCGGGCGTGGGGGATGGGTGAACTAGGTAACAGGGATTAAGAGTACACTTCAGATGAGTTCGGAGTAATGTATGGAATTGTTGTACACTTGATACTAACATAACACTGTATGTTAAATATCCTGGAATTAAAACAACTGGGTGGCATTCAAGGGGAGTCAGGCAGTTGGGGATGGAGGGGAACTTAAAAGGTATAAATCTTGAAACCAGGAATTGTTCTCTAAAAGGACATGCCCGTTTTCCAGGTGCATGGATTACTCCTTATTTCAGGACAATCCAGTTGAAAGCTGCTTGGATGGGTACAAGAATGTTTTATTTTATATAATAATTTATCTTAGATTTTATATCTGCATGGTCTAGGGTGTATCCTATATCTAAGACCATTAAATAAAATTAAAAATTCACTTCCCTCTGTCACTTAACTACATTTGAAGTAACCAGTAGCCACGTATGATTAGTGGCTGCCATTTTGGATAATACAGATACAGAACTTTCCCATCACAAACTTCTACTGGACAGTGCTGGAAAGGTATTATATATATTCTGAGATACAATGTAAGCTCTGTTGCTCAGAGGAACCTGAGATTTTATAGTTCTTCTCTAAAGCTGCCAGTTCCCTGTCTAGAAAAACTGATGAGAATTTTGTTCCGGAGGGTAAAGATTGCGACTGGCTTTCGGATATAGGGACCTGAAGACAAACACAGGGTGGATTTGTACCCAAACAGATTACACTAAGTGACCACAGACCTCTCATTGCCTCTGTTGAGGCTGGCAACCAAGAGAATACCCCAGCTGCTAATGGAGAACAAATGGTAGTGTGGGGAGGGAATGTCTGTGTGCCAGGGGACAGAGGAAGAGTGAGGAAGGCAGTAGAACCATTCTTTTGTGTTGACATCTTGGGCTATACATGGCTTTGCTTCTATCCCTAGGGGTTAGCAAAGGCCATGATCATGTAGGGGACATTGGAGGTGGGGAGCGGGGGGAGGATAAAGCCCGCAGCATGGCTTGGTAGTCCTGTTTCCAAATAGGGGTGGGGACTACCCTTGGTGGAAACATAGGAGTGTGTGTGTGTGTGCACGCACACGCGTGTGTCTTAGTTCTTAAAAAAAAAAGAAAAAGGAAATGATGTCATCCGTTTATCCATATCAATGAAGACTTACTGAATGCTTTGAATGCCTAGTGGTATGCTCTGAGGTTAAAAAGATAACGTAAGATATGGATCTTGTTCTCTTCTAAGAGCTGGGCACAATAATTCCAGGTACTGAAAATATGACAGCACAGGTAACACAGAGGGGAAAAACCCACTCCTTGGAGTTTAGGGGAAGATTTCACACAAGAGGGCACACCTGAGTATACTTTTGTTGGGTAAAGGAGATTTGCTTTTAAAGGTGAATGGATAGCTTATGCCAACACCCCAGTACGGAGTGTTTATGTACATAGTATTGGGAGATGAAGTTAGAAGAACTGTGAGTCCAGCCTGCACATGAATGTGGCTGTCGCTTGCCAGGTGTGATGCCTACACATGGTGATTTAATCTCTGGACAGTGCCGGGGGGACACTGTAGGTTTCTCTCCTGGGACCCACACGTTAGGCCCAGGGACAAGGCTAACCAAAGGAAGCCTGTACAAAGAACACGATGTTCCAGTGTAATAATGGTTAGGCTGGTACAGTAATAGTTAGGGGCACCAGGCTTGACAAGTCCCATCTCAGGCTTTCCAGGACCTGGCAAGACATTACCCCAGGAAGGCAGAATTTGGCCACCAGCCACTGTGTACCTGACAGGTAGAGCTTGGACTTGAGGCTCAACTCTTCCAGTAACCCCCCAAATGGCTGTCCCCAGGTGCTTGTACTGACCGTGTGTCTTTAGTGTTGCAGTGTAACTCATGTGGTGTGGATTTGTGTCAGAGTGCTCATTTTGCCCTGGCCTTGCACCTGGGGTCGCTGCAGGACTATTTGCCCTGTAAATTAAGCTGAGGAGTTTGCACATGGGCCATAAGGAGCCACAGATCTTTTAGCTGGGGAGTGAAATGATCAGATCTTTGTAGAAGATCCCTCTAGTCGGGCCCTGGAAGATGGGTGGGAGTGGGGAGATGATAAGGCGTGGACTAAAGGGTTGGCCCAGAGGATTAGGAAGAAACGAAGATGCACTCGCTACAATAAGATGTATATTCATGCAGTCTAGTTCCTTTGGAACATCCAAAGGGGTCTCTGCTTCCTTCCTGTTCTAACCACACCCTGAATAATCAAGTGCAGAAGGCAACCGGATGTGAGCACAAGAGAACTTGATCTGGCGTTGAGTGGGGTAGCTTCTGGGCTGCATGTACACGCACCAGGCACAAAAAGCAGCAACAACTGCAGAAATAGTAAAATCTAGCCTACACTCCATAGGGAATCTCAAGGACCCCGGAATAATCAAAACAACCTTGAAAAAGAACAAAGTTGGAAGATTCACACTTCCCGATTTTAAAATTTAACTACAAAGTTACAGGAATCAAAGCTGTGTGGTGCTGGCATACAGACAGACCTACACATCAATGGACTGGAATAGAGAGCCTAGAAATAAAGTCTCACGCAAATGGGCAAATAATCTGAAAAGGGTTCCAAGACCACTCAATAGAGAGAGGACAGGCTTTTCAATAGGTGGTGCTGGAAAAGGTGGATACCCCCATTTAAAAGAATGGAGACTTTTACCTAATATCGTATATAAAAATTAACTTGAAATGGATCAATGACCTATAAACTTAAGAGAAAACCTAGGGCAAAACCTTCAGGACACTTAATTTAGCAATGATTTCTTGGATAGGATACCAAAGGCACGGGCAACCAAAGGGAAAAAACAAACCCAGATTTCATGAAACTTTAGAATTTGTGCAAAAGGACACGGTCAACAGTGAACTGATAACTTATGGAATGAGAGAAAATATTTGCAAATCCTATCTGATAAGGGATTAATATCTAGAATATATGGAAGTGTGGGGGGGTTCACTCCCCTCTGAAATGCCTTATCAAAGGCACAAATGGCAATAAATCACCGTGGGAGTGCAGCCAGGAGATGTATTACTGTCCCCAGCAAGAACCAGAGGGAGAATGACCCACAGTGGGATAAGCTTTCTTCAATTATACTCAGCTTGGAAGTGGCTTTCTTCCTGCCATAAACCAGCCCAACTTCTGTATCTCTTCCTGTTGCCTCATCGCACCTGGTGAGACAGTTAAGCTCATGGTACAGAGACTAGACCTGTCCAGGTGGAGAGAACAGCTGTACCCTGGAAAGTAGGCAGCTGACCTTTGCACAGCAATCAGCTCAGTGCCATTCTGAAGCCTGTGCCATCATGACAGAGGCCATGCAAGTTCACAGCTCAGGCCTGATTTTTGAGCAGTTGCAGAGAGCTAGACAGGATCCTTGCAATCAGCCCTGAGGTCCTGACACAGGAAGGAGGTGCTCCAACTCGGGTGTGAATAGAACACGAAGGCCCACGATGGTCATGTCCCACTAGGGCGATGGATTGAGATTCAATGTTGGCCAACCTGCTCACCTATTTTTTTTCTTTAAATATTTTTAATGTTGGTTTTTGAGAGAGAGAGCAAGAGAGGGGCGGAGAGAGAGGGAGACACAGAATCCGAAGCAGGCTCCAGGCTCTGAGCTGTCAGCACAGAGTCCCATGCGGGGCTCCAACCTATATGCCATGAGTTCATGACCTGAACCGAAGTCAGATGCTTAGCTGACCGAGCCACCCAGGCGCCCCTCGCCACAACACAGAACAAGCCTCTGCCAGCTCCTCGCTCACCTGGGCTGTAGCCTCACCTTCGTCACTGCAGCCGGGGCCCATGCAGGGCTGGAAGTCCTGGGTGTCCGGGCAGGGGACGCTGAGGTCCAGCTGCGCCTTTAGCATGCGCTGCCGCATCCTCTTGCCTTTGTCACAGGTGGAGGAGCTGCAGGCGGACCACGGGGACCAGTTGGAGTAGATGCAGGTTTCGGGGGTGTCATCTGGAAAGAGCGTGGGACAGGTTTTCCTTGGGAGCCTGTGGACACCGGAGCCGGCCCTATCCCCATGCAAGCTCCTTTGGGGATAAGAAAATCTGCGTTGCCTGCCCTGCCTCAGCAAACCTGGGCGCTCTTGGGGTGGAAGCAGCTATTCACTTGCCTTTAAAGGCGATATTTTAATCATTCCAGGAGTATCTAAGCGACAGGGAAGAGTCCTACTAGCCCTTCCCCTCAACACATGAGGGTCTCTCATTTCTGGCCCCTCACTCCTGGCAGACACGGTTTCTGCGGGTGTACAGGCAGATCACAGGCAATTGGGGAAGCACAGCCTTCTGTGTGTGTGTGTGTGTGTGTGTGTGTGTGTGTGTGTTGCTGCTTAATCTTCTCAACGACCCCATACACAGGTGTCACGATGAGGGCAGCCAATGTTCGCCCAGCACTTATTACACACCAGCATCGTTGTAAGAACCTTACATGTTTTGTCCCATTTGGTTCTCACAGCAACACTCAGCGAGGCAGGTTCTGTTATTATCCCCATTCTACAGGTGAGGACAGTGAGGTAGCATGGAAGCGTCCTGCCCAAGGCCACAGAAAAAAGCCCAAGTGGTGTGGCTCCAGATCCCATGAGAGAAGGGGCTGAAGGCATGGGCCTGCCGCTCCCTCCTGACCGTAGGATCTAGGCCTCCCTTTCCTTGCCGGGAAAGTGGACGTGTCCACGCTGCCTCACAGGTCAGAGTGACCATCAAAGTGGGGAGTACCGGGGGTCCCAGGACGCCCATGCAAAGGCCCGATACTGGTGAACACATCTTCTGTGAGTCCTGGCCTCATTTTGGCTTATCTTCCAGGAAGGAGTCCTCAAAGAAGGGACTGCCAAGTCAAAGGACACACTATTTTTGCAGCTCTGAAAAACCTGTTTGCAAACTGATTTCTCAGAAGGTATTGCCAGGTTATATTGCTACCTGCAACCAAGAAAACTTACATACCTTCATCTTTCTCTTCTGGAGCCAGATCCGCGACAATATCATCGACGTTATCAGGTACAATATTGCATTGTTCCCCCTGCAAAAGGAATTTTTCTTGGAGGGCTCCCATCAAACAGTGGCACGTGTTGGGGTCAGACGAGGGAGGAGGTAAAATCGGATGCCCACCCTGCGTGCAAATCCTAGGCCACGGTGGAGTTCCGAGCCAACATTTACAATCACACTGAAAGAGAAATGGCAAGAAAGCCACAGCTTCCCAGTCCCTGACCCATGGCAGACGTCAGTAATCAGTTATGGAACTCACTAGGATACTTATGTGTCTGGACCAAATCATTCAGTGGAGCGCAAAACCCCACTGTAATGTTGATTTTGCTCATTTAGATCTTACGGATAATTTGCATGCTTAGAAACCTCAGGCGGTCCAGGAGTCCTGTGTTTTGGAATACGCCAGGGACCCCATGATTCCTGAGCAGATAGGGGTACAGTCGGCTCGCGCTCCTGGTGGGAAGGGTCTGTGGCAGGGTGAGCTCTAGCCCCAGTACCTTCCGGGCGATTCTCTCGATGACAACTCTGGCTACTTGAGTGATAGACCCGCCCTCTGGATCGTAAAAAGGACTCTGAGGATGGTCCAGGCTGGTCAGGGGCCGGATTTTCTCCTGGGGAATTGTGGGCTTGTTGGGTGACTGTCAGCGGGGAAGAGAACACAGAGAGAGAGTGTGGGAAACAGAGTGTTTAAAAACCACAAAAGCAACTTGATTGTAATATGATCAGAACAAAAACCTAATTGTTAGGGATTTCACAACAGCTCTAACTGCCTCTGGTGTTAATGCAATTCTATTCACGCCGTGTATCGTGCAAAAAAAAAATCAGTAGACCTCGATTTTCAGATTCTCCCAGGTACTCAGGATTACGTCCTGATGAAGACAAAGTTTCAGAGAGCTCATCCCAACTAGGAAACAGCTGAACCAGGCTGGCCTGAATCCAGAGCTCTTCCTGATGGACCAGGCGTTGGCAAATTAGTCTAGAGAGGGTCAGATGGTAAATATTTTAGGTTTTGTGGGTCCCACTGTGTCGGCTCCAACTACTCGACTCAGCTTTTGTAGGGAGAGAGCAGCTCCCTACAACATGTAATTGAATGCGGGCGGTGGGGTTTGAAAACCTTATTTACAAGTCAGGTGGTAGTCCCAGTTTGGCCCACAAACTGGGGTTTTCCGACATACTGCCCTGCCACTGGTTTTCCAATGGCTTTGGATTTGAATGCAATGAAAAATATTAAATCAGGAGAGAATCCAAAGTCCTTAACCTAGGTGTCTGGAAACCTCCAGGATCTGGCCCAGCCTCACATACATCAGCTTCTGTTGTTCCCTATTCTCACCCCCGTCTCTTGC